CCTTTATGACTATCGAGAAGCAAACTCTATAACGTTTCATCGACGTTTCAGAAACGTAGCTACAAAACGTTGTGTGATGTCGAATGCACAACGTTTTCACAACGTGAATGTGCAACGTTGTTATAACGTTGTGAAATAACGTTGCACGTTGACGTTATAACAACGTTGTGACAACGTAATATCACGACGTTACCAATCCACAACCTTTCCACAACGTTGTGACAACGTCGTGTGTAAGCTGGGTAGTCGCCTTTTGCAGCAAACATGGGTTGCTGAAGACCTATTCTACCCGGATCTTCATGGGTCCCATACAGGTACATGTACAACAACAGTTTTAAGATAACAAAAGGTGGAAATTCACCAAGGGAAGCCAACAGATAAATTACGCTGATAGGGGATTAGCAACAGACAATGGAAGCCAACACTTTACAGTAATTATCGCGATTGGCAACCGGAAGCCAGGACTTAAATTATCACTGATTAGGAATTGGCAATGGACAATGTTTAGAACGAATTAGACAAAAGTATTACCTTTGATACAGATGCCGATAGTTTGTTTCATTTGTACTATATGTTGTTTCAAGGAAACAATTGACTTCAACTTTCAATATGTTTGTGGGGATACACTCACCTTCTCAAAAACACCTAGTATCAGCAATATTTGATTGATCATGAACCCATGCTTATGATACAGTCGGAATCATACACTCGACATTTCTAATTACCGTGAGTGAGTGAGTGAGTTGGGTTTAACGCCGCTTTTAACAGTATTCCAGTTATATCGCGGCGTGTCAGCTTAATGTGGGAGGAAAGCCCAAAAGGGATGCAGATCTTAGACGTTTGCGGTGAAACCTACGAGCACGGGTATGGTGCTGACAAACCTATAAACATAATCGGGGCGAACCGGAATTCGAACCCACAATCATAGGTTTCTGGCGTGCCCAAGGATCGCAACTCTGCACAGCGAATCGCGGCCCCTTAGACGACTGGGCCACCCGTGCCCCCTCTTATTACAGAGATGATATTATATATTCTGATGAATATGAAAAGGGTTTTGTTGCTTTTATTTGCATGAACCAAGTCGCTTTGACTGCTGGTGGATATTTTGACCCCGACATATACAACAAACGAACAAAATAGGATCCGTTTTGGCCGATACAGTAACGTGCGTCCCCTCTGTGCTGCTGCAACATATTATTTAGACTGTATGGTTAAAACATATTTTTATTTTAAAAGAAATCTGGATCGGTAAACAAGCAAAACTTGCTTATGTAAATACCTCTCCAGGTAATAACTTTACAACAGCTAGTTATATATAAGATTATATATATGATAGTGCTAAACATAAACATACTAAATGCACAAATGAAATATATGAAGCCAATACAAGTGGTGTCTGTGAAATACGATATAGCAGTTGTCCATTTCTACATGCAAAAAATCAAGCTACTCGAATCTTTTGCTTTTGACAATGAAATAGTGAACTGATTTAAGAATAGTCATGTTTGTAGAACTGCTTACTAAACTACTGCCATGTCATATCGTTTTTAAATCATACCCATGTGTGTAGAAATACATAGTGTTTCAGATATTATCGTATTTTTGACAGGTATAAGAAAAGTGAATTGCGTCTTCAACGTGATACCCACAAGTGCAGTCTGATATGTCTAATACATGTCGTCTAAACTTATCAGCATTTAGACTGTATTGTCGGGTGGTCGTTTGGGGTGTCATGAAATCGACTTATGTTCAACATAGCGGCAACTTCTATTTATAAAAACGAAGATTCATGAACATGTTCAGTACAGTTGGAGTACATTTTTCTTTCAAACCGCGGTCGGGTAGCCTAGTGGTTAAAGCGTTTGCTCGTCACGCCGAAGACCCGGGTTCGATTCCCGACATGGGTACAATGTGTGAAACCCATTTCTGGTGTTCCCCGCCGTGATATTGCTGGAGTATTGCTAAAAGCGGCGTAAAACCATACTCACTCACTCACTCCTCAATGTAGTATTTCTTCATGTGGCATCAAAAAAGTGCAATCCTGTCCTATTTTGATAACACAACAGAAATGAACAACATCACAATAACATGGTCACTAGAAAGGACGAAGGCTAAATGATACCATTTTGTTGCCTCTCTTTTAGGAATCACTGGGAATGCATTAAGGACGAACATGGTTATACTCTGTTATGTGCCACATGTCAAACACCATATCCCATGGAGAACACAATTCTCATAAGTTTGCAGTTCAATATGTGAACAAAACAATAACAATGTATGAAAATTACTGAAACAACAAAATTTGACAAAAGACATTAAATTGTACCACAATATTTACAAGAGCATTTGCACAGAAAGAAGGCTCAACATAAAGTTATATTATGTAATTTAAATTGAAAATACTTGATGAAAATACAACTTCACATTTACTAGAATGTAAACATTAGTGATTGAAAAATGATCACATTATCATTACTTCAGAAAAAAATACAAATACAACATTTTGGGAAATAAAATTGCAAAAGAAATATATTGACAATGGCATAGAAATACAAATGCATGAAAACATACAATTTTGGTAGACCCATATTCTTTTCTAACTTTTACTTCTTTCTTTTCTTATTTCTGACCACATGGGTCCTCATTCTCTCCTTGCATAAACTAAAAAAGCATGGCATGAAACCTTCCTTGGCTAAACTCCTGAAGCATACATAAAATAATAATCTTTTTACTGTTAAATTTGGAATGAATATTAAAGAAATGTTACTTAAATAGTTTGGAAAAATAAATAGAAATTATGAGATGCCATTTTTGACCGTAACACTCTGTGTCATTAAAAACAACTGCCACGGTCCTTCTATATTGTTGTTGAAGCGAATAGTTTCAATATTGCTGATTACCATATTAAGTATAAACTCTCAATACCTGCTCACTAACATGTAAAGTTGAAGAATTGTCAGTGAGTGTATACATGTATATATTCTGGGTGTGTATGAAATGGATATATATATGGACGAAGCAATTGTATTATGATCTGAGTATCTTCATATCCCATCAGCTTTCCGTGAAGATCCGGGGTAGAATAGGTCTTCAGCAACCCATGCCTTCCATAAAAAGCGACTATGCTTGTCGCAAAAGGCGACTAACGGAATCGGGTGGTCAGACTCGCTGACTTGGTTGGTGCATGTCATCGTATCCCAATTGGGTAGATCGATGCTCATGATGTCAATCACTTGATTGTCTGGTCCAGACTCGATCATTAACAGACCGCCGTCATATAGTTGGAATATTGCACTATGAAGTTTGATTTCAATATTTAGATTTTCAGAAAAGATACAGCTGTTTTTCTTTTCTTTAACTTGAACATTTGTGCGACCTGCAACTAAAAAAAACTGCATGGATTCTTTTCAAGCTCAACGAACAGTTTCCATATTTAAGGAAGTGCAGTGCAAAGTTTCATTGGGATATGTGAATATTTTCTAAGGAAATATGAATTTTTACATGTTTTTAACTTAGAGTGTTACTTCAACACTTATGCGACCTATAACTTGAGAACAACTTCATGGATTATTTTCACATTTAAGTAACACTTTCCATACCAATAGGAGAGGTTCAGTGCCAAGCTTGATTTTGATTTCTGTATTTACTGAAATGGTACAATTTTGTTTTCATGTTTTGAATTTTCATAACTTCAAAACTTATGCGTGTGATACAGTTCCAATTGTGGGATACAGTTTCTATACCGATAGGAGACGTGCAGTACAAAGTGTCATTTCGATTTGTGGATTCCTTGAGAAAATATCGCTTTTTTCATGTTTTGAACCTAGAAATATGTTGAAGTCGAAGTCGTGGGTATAAGTGAGCCTTGCTCTCTTTTTCTTTATCATAATTGGTAATATCGCGTACCATTGGCGGAAGTATTAATTCAGGAAGACGTGGGAAGACTCGGTGTCTATTTCCTTGACCTAGCATGGTCTGCACTGATCACAGCTGGTGACTATGTTGAGAGAATGCTGTGATTAGGCTTGTCGGCAATCTAGCAGTTATGAATGTAAGATGAAGCTGAGCAAAAGCCTATCTGTTTTCATTTAATTCCTTGTAGATACTTCCCTGAATACTTCTAATGAATACAACGTTACGTAAGATTATACTTTCATCCTATGTCTCAGACATGTCTGATGACGAAAAGACAACTATCTATGAAAATTATCGGACATATTGAGTGATCGTAGATCCTGAAAGAAAATTTATACTGAGATATGAATATATATGTATATCGATTCAAATATAACAGCCACTTACATACACTGTCAACAATTCACATTAGCGCCTGTCTATTTTCTTATCAGTATCATATGCATTGTATTTAACAGTTATTGACTATATAGGCTTTTCGTTTCTTAGTAGGCTTTATTTCCCGTGTTGGTCGCACATACCATAAGAATGAGTCAAGTGTGGTAGTCAAAGCTATCAGACATACGTTATTGATTCTTTTTAAATACTCATGAACGTACAATGACGTCATACTATTTTCATATACATATTTCTTACGGGAAAGTTTGGGGCGTTCAAGTTTGAAATTATTTTTTTCATGACAGAGAAAATGTGTTTTTATCGTGAAAAACATACGCATATGCACAGAAAAATGGTGACACGCCATTGCAGTTAACCTGGATAAGTAGTCAACAGCTTAAAACTAAGACAGTTAACAAAACTGAGATGTACTGCCACATGGCATCATATTGTCTTCCGATGATAACTTTGTATGTGATATTGAAGCAAAACATGTTCAAGTCAAACTGTATCTGATATATTGCCTACGTCACGCCAGGTTGAAAAAAGAAACACAATATGGTGCATTAAACATATCGGTTATGACTCCTTAATTTTAACGATAGAAGTTCAAGAAAACTACAGTTGGCCTTGGATAATCCATGAACATATCTATGCAATGATAGTGGCAACACACAACACGATTAAAAATAAACTAAAAACAGCACCATCATGCACCTGTTTTTATTCATGGAACTATTTTAACATAATGTTTCCAATATCAGGTTTTTTTGCAAGATCTTCGGTGTTTATTCCCTTAATGCAACATTTACTCCACACTTCATATAGATGGTTCTCTCCTTGATTTCATCAAGTGCCAAAGGGTTGCTCAAGGAGAAAATATGTTCTTCATCGGGAGATGACGCTACCTCGCTAATATCCTCCAGGTCGAGATCTGATGACGTTGGAACAACAAAAACGATTGCCTCTGTAAGGAGACGACCTATGTTCCTTGATATGGTCGACTTTTTGCTACTTTTCCCATCCGTAAACAAGATAACAATGTTATCTGCGTCTGGACGGTCGCCATTTTCCTCTACAAACACATCAGATACAGCCATGTTGATAGCATCACCGAGGAAGGTGGAACCACCTTTTTGTTTTTGAGCGTTTACAGCATTAATAGCGGCTCTTTTGTTGTTCGGGTGTGAATTCAGCAAAAAGTTCACTTGAGCCTTTCCTGAATACACCAAGAAAGCCACGTTGATTAAAGTTTTTTTTATGCGGGCATAAGAGAGCAGTTCCATTTCAAAATCCTTTATCTGCCTGTATGCGTCTGGGGAGATAGAAGAAGATATGTCCTCGATAAGAAGAATATCCAGTTTCTTCTGTAGACATTCTGAAAACATACAGATTTAGAACAGTTAACACTGAGCATTTTCTCTGGTACAAATATTCATGGTGTTATATTCGAGAGTGAATACCACACTGTAGGTAATGTGAACATGATTCATTTTCATTGGCGAATACATTAATATATTGTATTATGATCATTGCCAACTGATAAGGAAAATGTCTTCCCTTTAGGTACGTGGTGAAAAGGAAAGAAAAATCTTACTTTTTCCACAATTAGCTCCTTCATATCCCAGCAAGCATGTACAAGTGTGTCCATTCGGGTTATTTTTACAGATGCCTCCATTCTTACAAGGTGTATTAAAGCACTTGTCAGCGGCTGAAACATAACCTCTTATTGCAAATGATCTGGTAAAGCTAAATGTGAATACTACCTGTTTAATTTATACAATAATGAACCCAACCCCTCAAAATGTGTTCTATAAAGCTCAACTCAAATCATGTATTCTCATCATGTTTTTACTCTCTTCATCATACCCGATTATCATGTTGATTAAATTTCCAATCAGTTGCCGTCGATTACACCCATAAAGATCCGAATAAGAATTTATCTTCAGTAATCGCTGCTTGCCGTAAGAGACAATTAACGGAATCGGGTTGTCAGGCTCGCTGACTTGGTGGATGCATGTCATTGTATCACAATTACCTAAATCGATGCCCATGATGTCAATAATTGGATTGTCTGGTCCTGACTGGATTATTTACAGACTGTCGTCACATATCTGGACTATTTCCTAAAGTGGCGTTATACAACAAACAAACAAACCATTTGATTAAATATAACGACTGCTAGATCTGATTCGAATGTGTATGCATTCTTTGCTGAAGATGCGTGCAGAAGAGTCATTTTGATTACATGTTAATTTCAATTGCTTCAGCAAAGAAATGTAGGTAAGGTCACTTCCTAAAGGAAACTATTGTGTCGAATGGGTCTATGGGGTATGTATTATCACAGATATTCGCTCCATGGGATTCTGGTTTTGAATAATAGGTCTTCGAATAAGAAGAATTCTAAGTTCTTAAATATTCAATACTCTTGGTTTAGACTTATTTATATCGTCGAGTAGTTCTGTAGATGTGTCACTGGTATGGTCTGCCGTATATGAAACTCTCTGTTCACCGCGACAATATGGTTACTTCCCTTTAACCGACTTTGATGTTTGAGGAAGGAAAATAACACTCAATTCGGTTTATTTCGGTTAAGTGTAGTCGATCGGCCCATGGTTACATTTGTATTACAACGGACGTGGTGTACACAGATCCTATTGTTCTGACAATAATGTACTTCAAAGTGATCGCTTCATCGCTTGATTGATATAGATAGCTAGGCGTTTAATTACTTTACAATCAGTTGTAGTGAGTGAGTGAGTGATTTGGGTTTAACGCCGCTTTTAACATTATTCCAGTTATATCACGGCGTGTCAGCTTAATGTGGGAGGGAAGCCCGAAGTGATGCAGGTCTCAGACGATTACCACTTCGGTGGAACCCACGAGCACGGGTATGGTGCGGACAAACCTAGAAACATAATCGGGGCGAACCGAGATTCGAACCCACAATCATAGGTTTCTGGCGTGCCCAAGGGACGCAACTCTGCACAGCGAATTGCGGCACCCGTGTCCCCTACAATCAGTTGTAAACATAATGATATTACATGTTTGCTTGGTCGGATATTCACACTATTTCCCTGGTAAATGATCCCCTCGTAACTTATTATAACCTGGGCAAACTAACAAAGAATGATACTCGTCCCCGTTGCACTCTCAAGTTATTAACGGTCACAAAGCTAAGATACAGCTCTGTACCAAACGATACCTTGAATAGAGAATGAGAGAAAGATGTACTTCCGTTTTCCAGAAGACTATGCCATTACATGACATAAGTACATTTTAGACGCGACATAAATTCTCACAAAAACGAATGACGATGACTTATACACTGTTTTTTCCCAAACATAGCCCAAGCCCAAGCTGAACAATAAAGATTTACTTTTTGAGACCCAATTAATTTTACAATAACTTTCTGCCAGAAGCACCATATAATGAAATTTCGTTGGATAGCGACAATCGGACATAATCAATAACTTTATCCAATAGCCCAACAGTCTTGTGTATGCATAAAGATATAACGGAAAACGTTCAGATTCAGCTCGAACCATGTTGTTGGCCGTTGACGATTTTACACATAGAAAGCGCTTGCATGCCAATGCATGTATGGTTTATCTTTCATCACTTTGGTGTAGACCCCAGACTTAGAGCAAAATGGGGACTATTCATTCATCATTCATTTTTCATCAAATATTTAAAAATATAAATTATGTCGAAGAGGATGTCATTTTGTCAAAGACTTTAGAATTCCAAACACTGCCCTGTTTCCCCTGTAAACCAGCATTAAAGAAATTACTTAACCAGGACAGGCTTCTGGTAAACGTAACGCCAAAATACTTATCAGAAGATCCATACTCAATCTTTAGACCTTTGTAGAACCAAATCTCATTTTTTTCTCAATCCACCTTTCTTAAAAACGATCACCTTAGTTTTATTCAAAATGACGTCTAAATGTTAATCCTTACAATACTTTTCAATACACCAATAACCTTCTGAAGTCCTCCTTTGGCATCTGAGATGAAAATAATATCGTCTGCAAACAATAACAGGAATATCTCTGTAATATTAGGATAAAATTTTGTATTCCTGGTCCAGAATTCTGTTCAACTTCAGCAGGTAGTTCGTTACTGAACATCGAGAATAAAAGGGGGCTTAACACACAACCCTGACGTACTCCTCTTGGACACTAAAACATTTCAGAAAATGAATGTTTAAACTTAACGCTATCCTTAACAGCTGTATGAATAGACTGTTTAGCTTTAATCATTTTGCAAGAAATACATCTATTGACTAGTACTGACCATAATTTTTTCCGTTTTACACTCTCACATGCTTTTGCAAAAAAACTATGACCCTATAGTTGGACGGGAAATGGATGTGTCCTCCTTATGTATCAGAAGAAAGACTCCCAAAGATCAAGATTCATTAAGATGGGCATTATCAAACAACATATTTAAGAGCACTGTAAGATACAGGACAAAAATATCATTAGCATATTAAATGATTGTAAAATGAGGTGGTCATTTCCTGCGGATTTATTAAATTTTAAAGAGTTAATAGCACGTAGCACCTCCTCTTGTGAAATGGGAGAGTCCAGAATATAGCAAGGAATATCGTCATGAATATCATTAATAGTCGTATCGATGATAACCATATCCTCATCTGTTGGATTGTCAAACACATCCTAGAAATGATCGACCCATTGTCCTAGTGGTATCAGGTACACGAGTTGCCACATTCTGAGATAATCCTCCTGTTGTAGACCAAAAAGATTTTACTATTCAGAAGACTAGATAAACCTCATTACACATTATATTCATCATAACTTTTCTTTTTATCACGTAATAAACTTTTATGTTTTTATTTCGTGATTTCAAATAACTAAATAAGGTGCTTCCATTCTTAAAATGTCTATATTTTTCTGAGACACCGCTCTCGCTCCCATCCGTAGTACCGGCACTCAGTGTCAAACCAGGGATGTGAGCGAATGTCGCGAGACTTACAAGTCCTTTTCATGCATTGATCTGAGCAGCTGTACAAATGGTACTGTGAATAATTTAATAGCATCATCTATATCATCTGGTAGTAACAGGGTACACTGTTCAAAACAATCAACCAAATGTGGCAATACCAGATTATCTAAACAGTTGTAGTTTCGCAATGTCCAACATATAGTGGTAGTTTTCACGAGGCGCACGTAGGAACCCTGCTCATTCAACAGGAGTCTCCCGATCACGTGCTTGATATGACCAAGATAATGGAAGGTGTGAGGATTCTTCCCTCGACACAATATCATTTCTTTTACATCAGAAGAATAGACTGCTTGATATAATAATGTAGTACACTGGAGCCTGATTAACCGATGTAAGTATAATCACCTATACCTAAATCCGTAACACAGCGACCATTTAGAATAGACATATCGAGAGCGGCACACACATTGACAAGATATTTTCCGACATAATTTACAGTGTTATCACATGACACGCTGTCTATGTTGATACTATCGGACAGAATTGAGATATTCTCGTCACACGTAAATACACGATTTAGTTGCAAATGCATATATATATATATATATATATATATATATATATATATATATATATATATATATATATTCGTGTGACACGCAATCAGCAAAGTCACCTTACTGGACGAGTTGCCTCCTACAGCAAGCATAAGTTACTTTGGAGGAATGCTAAACTGGAATACCCGCGGGAGTTGGAACGGGGCATTAATATCTATCCATATTGAACGGTACTTGCCTCCTTTACAATGACCACCTGAGAATCCTGGAGCACATTTGCATATGAAAGAGAACGGTGTTTTGTCAGTACAAGTTCCTCCATTAGCACACGGGTTCGATGAGCATGGAGCATAGTGTGCTTGTGCTTGTGCTGAAAGATAATGAAGATATAGGTCAAATAAATATAGCCACAAAACCGTTTCGATATCCAATTGAAATCGGTGCATGAAGTAGAGTCGATTGTACGATTCTGACTATATCATAAGCATATGTTTATGAATCGCTATCAAATAGTAATGATACTAGGTGTTCGCGAAAAGGTGAGCGTATCCTGCACCACCGGTGGCACCCGTCACAAACAAAGGCATGTCACCTGAAAAAAATAGAGAATTACATGGGACATACTTTTTGTCACTTATGCGTCGAATTTGGAACTGTCTTCCACATGTCTGCCATAACACTTCTAGAAAGCTTTTCTGAGGCCTTGAATGTTGGAACCTTGATCAAACAGCTTGTGAGCAAGTCTTTGAAATCTTGGTAGAAAGTGCATGCTAGATTGTATCTCAAAAGTTGTGAAATGAAAACACCAAAGGCTGGAGCTGCTGGAATAGTGCTTGACATGAAGGGGAGGTTGACATTGGAAAGTTGAAGTCATCCCTCTTGTCATACAGTCTTGTGGAGAGTGTTTTGTCACTCTGAATCTTTATGCGTAGATCTTAATATGAAACAGATGAGGCGGGCTCACTGGTATTCAGATTATCGATATAACTGAAGCTGAAGTTAAACTACTTGGCCATATTACCTTGTTTTGACTTTGCCAATCCGAACAGAAATTCCAATTGATACGCATAAAGAAACAGATCATCAAGAAGGGGAGATAACTGGTGCCCGTTGGGATGCCTACTTCTTGCCTGTCTTACCCTCAAATGTTACGTTGATGTTATCAATGAGGAAGTCCAGCATTTCACGTATTGTTTTCTTTGTAAACTTCAGATGGCATTTGCTTTCATTTTTCACATATTGTCCTGAACCTCTAAATATAGATATGTAACTTTATCTGTGTTCACCACGTTTTGTAACAAAAGCTCCATAGATCAATGAATGAAGTTTTTCCGTAAGTTTGTCATGGGATAGTGGTGTACAAAGTTGAAAAATCAAATGTTTTGACAGAATGGAACTTGCTTCTTCTCTGAGACTACAAAAAGTCAAGCAAATCCTTTGAGTTTTTGCGAATCCACATGGTATTAATTCCACTTGTCTTTCTGTGAATAGAAAGAAAGTCCCTCCTTGATTGTATTAAGGATTATGGTTATTCTTTGAGACAGGGATTTGGTGGCATATTTGCTGGACCCAGCAGTATCTCTCTCTTTGAACGGGGTTTTTCTGAGCCTTTTTTTATACAGCGATGTCTGCATGCAGCGCCATCCAAGATTACAAAATATTCGTAATGTCAAACCCAGTTAAAATCTCTTTGCAGTGGTCACTTGCGTTAACGTCATGGGTAAATGTGAAACATGGTTTTAATGAAAGGTTTAATGCTTTGCAAACATGATGTCAGCAACCCTCAATATTTTACTTTAAGAATGTCTCAAACCAATGGTAATTTTATAACATAGTTGTTAGTTCACTGAACAAAAGTAGGATAACAGTGCCACGCTTTGAATATCTGACCGGGAGTCGACAATTCGCACCGCTGGTATATATCCCCGATGAAGCTATAAATAAACAATACCATTTAGAACGTGGACAAATCCGTCCGGGATTCGGACCCACACTTGCCAGAGTGAGGCATCTCATCGCCAGCATTATGTATTCATAGCTTTCGGCCATGGGAACCGTATCAATTTACACTTGTCAGAGGGGTACTCAAAGTACGTGACCTAGACTACCAGTCTAGAAGTCTCTGTGGCTGAGTGGGTTCGATCACTGACTTTGTGTGCTGGTGATTAGGTGCCTCACTCTGGCATGTGTGGGTTCGAACCCCGGACGGGACTTTACCCCCAAACCTACGAGAATCTGCACTTTACTAAGAAAGTGTCATCCAAATATAACATTTCTTACGCCATTTTCATGAATTAATCGGTAAAACGCGTTTTCTTTTAACTCACTGATTGATACTAATTTGATTAAATGTATTTCCAAATTACAATTCGGAGGAGTTTGTTTGAAAGATTCTGTACAACGATATTTATCGTCCACTCTTTCCAGTCAAACATGGCAGAAGGGAAATATTTGTTTCATAATTCAGTGAGGAACAGAGGATTCTGGATCGGAGTATGTGGGATACTCTAGTATCGAATGTGAAGCATAATCTTTATATTGGTTTGATAATACCTTCTTTATGTTGGTTTGATAATACATTCACTAGTCTGAATTTTTTTTATCATAATAATTCCACTGAACTACAATTTTTAAAGTCTTAAACATTCTGGATTATGGCCATAAATTACGTTTATCATCCGACATTTTCAGATTAGATAGTTATAACTCACCTGATATGCTTCTGATAGTACAATAACATTTGAATACGTCTAAGCAATCAGGAGCATATGTTCACGTTGTACAGAGCTCAGACGCTCTTGACTGTCGCCTCTCTGACTCATGGGACCATCATTTACTGGAATTATCAAAGTAGGTTTTAAAATGAAGATGTACAATAACATCAATAATATTTCTAATTTGTCTGGCTTGGACCCCACTTGTCAATATTAGACTGCCAGCCCTTGACGAGGTTTGTTATTCAGGATTCTGTTGTGTTGAAACCCTAGTTTGCCATCGTTAACTTGCCTGTTAGACGACCTCTATAATCCTTTACGAGGATCCTATAATCCTTGAATTGTTTTACCAAATAACACGCTTCATTGGTTTGCCTACCTTAAACAATAGAAGCAGACATTTCGGGAAGTCCCCATTATAGAATTAAATTTTTTCTCGAGGATATGAGACAACATGGCAATATCTTATTACTCAAACGCTTTGGTTTATCAGTTTACATTGTTGCTGACATATATTCCCCGGATAGAGCAGTTATTACCGAAGTTGGTTTCATCGTTCGCCTGTGAAATGATATATTGCACATATTTCAGTCCAAACCCGTACGCAAAAAACCTACCTTAAACCGATACTTTTGCTGTATACACATCCGGTCAGACAAGTTCAGTAATCGATTTATGAAATTATTTATTGTCGGCGTCAAACGGATTGATGCGTATATGTACCAACAATTTACGTATTTGGTTTAGAACACTGAAATGTTCATAACACTGACAACGAGGGGATAGTTAGAAGGGGACACTGCTTTTGACTGAAATCAAATCGGGGTATCATGTTATAGTGCCGAAGACGCTCAAATAGCAGATCAAGGATAATTTTTACGTACTCATCAAGAAATATACGTCAAATTTACTTGAATTCTAAATAGAATATTTTTATAACCAGTCTGATAAATCTATGTAAATATATGCATGCATATCCGTGAGCAAATCCCAGAGCCTTTCTCTAATGGTGGCACGGTCGGCCCAGTTGTCTAAGGCGCAGGGTTGCGTCCTTTGGGCACGCCAGGAACCTATGATTGTGGGTTCGAATCCCGGTCAGCCCCGATTATGTTTCTAGGGTTGTCAGCACCATACTCGTGCTCGTGGGTTTCACCGAAGGGGTAAACGTCTGAGACCTGCATTACTTCGGGCTCTCCTCCCACATTAAGCTGACACGCCGCGATAAAACTGGAATACTGTTAAAACCGCCGTAAAAACTCACTTACTCACCCTTTCTCTTATACACGAAACCAGATCTTCCTTAAGTTTATTTCACAAGCTTCGTTAACTGAGTATGATTCATAAACACATGCTAGACGGAAGTGCAAATTGACTTTTACAAGAGGTATCTTATAATTATGGAAATGGTTTTGTTGATTACATTTGCATCTCAAAAGCGTTTTTTCGACAATGTTAATAATCGGTTACACATCAACCAGTCACGTGGTAATATAAATACTTTACGACGTAACTTTGATGAAGGACTTCGTTTGTCAAAGGAGGATTTTAATAAGAAAACGACTTCTTCAGACTACTAGTATTTCACGATAAATTCAGAATGACACTTATCACGAAACATTATGTGATACTGGACATGCATTAAATATTAGTTGGTTGGTTGGTTGGTTTGTTGCTTAACGCCGCACTCAGCATTATTACAGCTATATGACGGCGGTCTGTATAAATAATCGAGTCTCGACCAGACAATCCAGTGATTAATATCATGAGCATCGATCCACGCAATTGGGGTCGATGACATGCATCAACCAAGTCAGCGATCCTGACCACCCGATCCCGTTAGTCGCCTTTTACGACAAGCATAGTCGCCTTTTACGGCAAGCATGGGTTGCTGAAGACCTATTATACCCCGGAATCTTCACGGGTCACTAAACATTTGTAGGTTGTGAGCTTTCCTGAAAGTCATATTGGCCTACACAAGATTATGTGTTATTCTGTTCTATCTTAGTTGTAGCCGTGAAAATTCGCCTCAACTAATGTGTGTACGAGCATCTCTGAATGGGGTTATGACCTAAAAATCAGCTTACATTTGCAGTCTAAATACAATTTAGATATCTATATTTGTAAAATGAACAGAAGATCGATACAACGACCTTAAATAATGCAGACTAGCGTGCAATGGAAAATATAACTCAAGAAACCTAAATCAGTCAACAGAAAATAATAATACAGTAGGTTGTACCGCAAATGTAGCGCAACTGTCAAAAGATAGAGTGACTATTGTGAAAGTGGCGCGAAAATGGCGCGAAAGTGCTGCGATCTTGTAAAATGTTATTGAGCAAATGGCGTGAAAGTGTCTCGAAAGTGGCGGAATAGTTTTGCGATAATGCCTCAAAAGTGGCACGATAATTCCGCAATAGTGGCGGGACAGTTTCGCGAAGATAAGGGAAGTTACTAAAAAAATGTAGATGTATGACATGTATGTAGTTAGTGGCGGGTCTAAACATGTGTTCTGTTTTTGTAATATTATAAATTGGTCACTGATATTCTCTTTGCACAGTTCGATTGAAAGATATTACTCTTATGGCCGCGAATGGAAGTCACGTGAGTTTATGTCGTGGCGCATTTGCATCGTCTGTCCCTCTGTAACATTTTCGAT